ATGATGATGATGATGATGATTTGGATTTGGTGCCATATAAATAAAACAAATCGACCCGAATCATCAATGATTGCACAATTACAAACAAACATGTTGCACAATTAAAATGAACATTCAAGGCAATGTTTTGTGTGGAAAACAGAAATGAACCAGATGCGTAAACATTGAGCAATTTTTTACTATTTTACTGTTTCTATTTAACTGTTGTAATTTTATTATGCTCGTCTGAAACAGGTCTCTCTTGTAAATGAGACATTCAATCTCTGATGGGATTACCTGTTTAAATAAATGAAAAATAAATACTTTTATTTTTAAAATAATTTATGAATGAAAACTTCAAAACGATTGAAAATTGTCCAAAAATAACATTAATTGCCAACAATACTATCACTGATAAATTTAATAACCTCTTCACTGGTGCTCATACCCATTTGCTTTTTAATCCCTCTAATAAAAATAGTGGAGCATGCTATGGATGCAGATATTTAACCATTAAAAATTTCCCTCCTTAGGTTAAGAGTGCCCTTGTTTACTTTACAAGAAAGACTGAAGATGATAACCGGCCATTTTTCCCCTCTATCCTAAATGTAGCTTTTGAGTGATTTTTTTTTTCCAGGGCTGCTTGACTGAATATTTGTGGGAGAAGGAGGAATGCCATCGATGTCAACCTCAGCTAACACAACACAACCGTTGAGCATGCACAGCTCACCCTCTCTTATACAAGCTGCACCCGAAAGCTACCCGTTTCACTTGTGTCGCATGAAAGTTTCCACTTCATCCACCGAAATGTATAGCAGATGGTAATCTGTAAACATACATAACATAAAGCTTGATGTGTAAACAATATCAGCGACCACAACTTAGAACATGTTCAATTCCAGCCCAGATTTACAGTATTAAACACACACACACACACGTACGTCTATATGTGATTGCAATAACTCCCACTGACCAAAGCGACTCCAGAAAGAGGATTTCACCTCTCAAAGCACATTAAACAGACTGGACTTGACAGGAAAAATAACTCACAGTTACTCCTCCGACTAATGCCACAAACATCACACTGTATACCCACACGCCGCAGCTAAACTCCTGAGCCATTTATAAAGGCATCATAACACTTTCCACTTGCTGTAATCAAAGAAAAATAAACTCAAAGAAGCAATCCCAGCTGCCATGTTTCCTTTAAATTCATTTGCAGCTCTTGAGCATCTCGTGAATTCGCTCAACTTCAACTTGCTGTACTCACTTCAATGCATGAGTACGGCTCTACCGCCCCCTAGAGATCAGGAGAGGAAGTGTTTCGATACACAGGAAGGGGATTTGTTATTCTCATTATAAACTCTTGGGGATCTGATTTCCTCAAGCCCATCACTTGGAGATAAGTGGCGAATGGAAATCAGCCAGCATGTCGCTCCTCATCTCCATTCCCCTTCGGTAAAAGCCCTTTAAGAGCAGCCATGAAAAATGAGCTGGAGAGTTTGTGAAAATGCATCAGAGAGTTTGAGTGGTGTCTGGAGAGAATAAAAGAGGGTGAAAAAGAAGGATAGAGAGACAGACAGACAGAGCGAGCTGCCAGCATGTAAAATTGGAACAACATGAGCTCATTCCCCCAATAACATGGGGCACAGAATGGGAATGAGAGACAGACAAAGACTGAAAGGCAGAGACAGGGGAAAGGAGGGTGGCAACAAGTAAGAATTTAAAAAAAAGAAAGAAGAGAAAAAGAAGAAGAGAAAAAGAAGAGAGAAAGCGATGCACAGCAGAAGGAATGATGGGGTTGTTAGTGGTTTGTGAACCAGATGAAACATTTTAACCAATTTGATTGTTTGTGAAAGAAATCATTCTGATCAAAACCCTAATTGCTGCCAACTGGCCTCCTGGCGAGTCTCAGAGTAATGCAGCCTGACGTGTCGGGGTAAGAGGAGAGGCTTTAGAGCCAGGAGGAGTAGATGGGGGAGGTCAGCACTCACCCTCCGACTTCAAACATGGGGAAGTGTAAAAACAGACTATTTTAGGGACTAAAACAACTAACGATGGGATTAGAGGAAGTCCGCTAAGTGGCCTTGAGATGCTGCAGTTTACTTCGCCCCGCACAGAGTGAGCGAACGGAGCAGCTGCTTACAAGACGTGCCAAAAAACTTTTGAAAAGAATATTTAATGTTTGTTTTACCCCAGGAAGCAAGAGAACTAGTTTCAGCTGCCAGGCAGCTCTCAGGAACTGTGTTACAGTAGACACAGTCACCAATATTATAAATAACTATATAAATATTATAAATAACCTTCTGATAAATTGCCATAATTCATTTTAAATGAAACACTTACTTTCAGTGCAATCCTGAAAATTTAGAGCTAAACTGTACCACCAATGTGCACCTGTCCATTTCATCTAAGTACCTCATACAGTACCTGCATATTTTTCCATCCATCCATTTTCTTCCACTTATCCAATTCAGCGTCTCAGGCTGTCATGCCCACTTATACACCTAGAGTCATTTTAGTTAGAAACACCAGTTGACTTAACCCCATGCATGTCTTTGGACTGTGGGAGGAAGCAGGAATTTCCCAGAGACAACCCATGCAGACAGACATGAGGAGAGAATGCGAAATGCAAACAGTAAGAGACCAAGCTGGATTTGAACCCAGACCTTCTTACTGTGAGGCAACAGTGCTAACCGCCATCCTGTTATTGCACATGGTTCACATGATCAGGTTCACTTGTCTGTATGGAATACTAGGTGTATTTGTTTCTTTATGCATTATATTGTTATGCATTGTATTTGGTGTAACTTCAGATGCCCTCGTGGTTGGGTATCTTAATGATACTTTTATCTGGATAAATAAAGGATCACACCGCCGCCCGGCATATTCGCCCTACTCAAATATTACCATACTTTACTGTTGACTCTGATTAGCATCCCAAAGTATCCTTGCACTGTGTCCTTGTGTGTCTTTAGAAGCACTTAAAATTTAAACACTTCGTGATAAATATTCAAAGGATGGATGCTGGTTTTTATGGATAGTGGCACAAATTATATAAAGAACAGACCTCTGCAACATGTGCAATTAAACTATCCTGGTGTCACTGAACGTCCTGAGCACCGCCTCAAAGTGTCTCTAGACTAAAGTAACAATCTGGCATTCAGGGCTTGTTTGGATTCATGGTCTGTTTTAGTTATTCTTTGAATAATATTCCCCAATGGGAATCATAACAGTTTTTAAGGCAAGGTTTTCTTCAGCTTCCCTTTTTCAGTAAATATTAAACACAGATGCACGGAGAAGTTTGGCAAGTTTGGTGGAATTATAAGAACACAGGCACTGCTTCTATTTAAAATTGTAGTTTTTGTTGAGAAAATGAAAAAGCAGAGTATATGGCGCGAAACCACAATGTAATTGCAGGGAAAAGTGTTTTAATTTAAATACTTTTTTTTTTTTAAATATACTTGCTAAGTATGAGGAATCTGATCTCGATGTCTGTTAGTGAGTAGAATGGACTGAGCAGTGTGCTTTGTATTACTGCAGCTACAAACCAGTTTGTTCATAAATACATTTGTAAATAATTTTGACTATTACACTGTATATATATTGAGCACTGCAGCAGTAGCAGGAGAAAGAAAACTTTTTTGTTGAACCATTTTTGTCTTGTTTATTGGTTATGAGTTTAGGTTGGAGATTTGTCTTTTGTTTGTTTCTGGCCTTTTCTTCAGTGTGGTTGGTGTGGGTAGCTGCACCTCATGTTACATCCAGGTTACCCCAGGCCGGGGACGTAATATTATTTAAATCACTAACTTTTTCCTGCAACTTCATGTCTTTTCTTGAACCGCAAAATGTCTATAATTCAGTCTCACGTAAACCAAGTCAGAGATATTGCATAACAACCAAACAATAGTTCATTGATGACACGATGACACTGACACGAAGAACGCTAATCACAGTATTGTTTTTAAACAATACCAAGCCCTAGATGTTATTATCCTGCACATTTGGTGTCTTAGGTCATTCATAAGTACTTCAGAAAAAATGCTGAAACTTGACACAGTTATAACCTGTGGAGACATGTCTGACTACTGATTTCAATATCACAATTTTATGCTCAGTATGCTACCAGAATCACAGCTGAAATTATGAGTTTCCGATCGACACTTTGGGCATGCATCTGGCAGCGTGCAACAACCCTCCTATAGGTGAACAGATTTTCAAGGCTACAGAAACTGGAAAAATGACTGCTTCATCACAGACTCTACTGGCCACCTGGAATAAAAAAAGACCACTAAGACAGAAATAGATGTGCATGTTTCTTTTTTCCCCCCCTTTATGTCAAATTCAAAGAAACACCATTTACACACCATCCAGCTGTGCAGGCATGGCTGGTGTGGTCTGATATTGTGATCCCAGCACTTATATAAAACTGTTATTTTGAGGCATTTTTTTTTTATTACACCTTTAGCATCTTACATCCTGCGCTTGATTTAATGACAACAGACACTTCAGTTTCAATCACCATATGCAATGGTGCCTAGATGTCGAATTAGCTGCTGATTTTTGCCTGTCGTTCAATCTTTTGCATGCATAACTGCATACTAATCGTGGCAGAGAAGGGCGCCTGCCTGTCCTTTGGAAGCAATTACAGTTTCAGGGTTTTGCTCAAGGGAATGTGGACAGAAGAAGACAGTGATAGAATCGCCATCCCTGCAATTTGTGGACTAGTCAGCCACAACTCAACGTGGTAAATCAAGAATAGGACCTATGCATATTTTGAAAAAAGTGCACACATGCATGACAGGGAAAGGGGAGAAGACGTTAGATACACCTAACTGCACCTGATCATGAATGGCTAGCCTTACATAAACATAATCTAAATTAGGTCTAAACTCAAATCAAAGGAAGTGATGAAAAAAATAACAGCAATATAAAAAAAAATAAAATTCTAAGTCATAGATCCCTAATTAGATCTAAGACTTCAACAAAGCTAATTACTATATTAACATAAATACACACACCTGATTAAAGGTTTTAAAGTGAAGCTCTTTGAAGATGGCATCACGGTCCTCCACCTCCATCCAGCCTGTGGCCCTGAGCTCGACCAATAGCTGCTCCCGGTCTTCAGGGGAGAGCCAGTGTGAGTCTGATGACTGGACAAAATCATATTACGGTTAAACTCTTTAGCCCTGGAATTATAAAGGACAAATCACGTTTTTTGTAAACAAAAAAATTCTTGCACTATAATGAAAAGTGCTGATTCAACCTTTACACACATGCTTAGTCTAGTATTAGGAGTTCTCTGACTGCTATTCACGCTGCGTCCAAAAGGTGGCGGTCTAGACCCAAAAATGAACGTTAACGCCGTCCTTTCCAGGACCACAGGTCAGGCTTACCTGGGTGTAACCTGCATAAGGGACCTAACTTGATTGGTTTAAATAACGGATTTGGACGGGACTCCACTCAAGCCCCGCCCTACTCTAAAAGTCTCAACCAAGCCCTAACAAAGCGTACAAAATGCAGGCATTTCACAGGCTAAAATAATAAATAAATGTGATGGTTAACTTTTAATATACAGTTAATCTCAACTTCGCAATAATATGAATACCAACCTCGCCCCGCTCACATTTCTATTGCACATGAGCCAAATCCCAACGTAAAAAGCAAAGGGATCAAATTAACTGAGAAATCTAAAAAACTACTAACGCCGAATTAAAGAACAGCATCAGAGCAATTCATAAAACTGTTACACATTTTAATCGTTTGCGCCTTAACGTAAATGGACGCCTTAAAGTTTGTATTTACATTTTTCCTGGGAGAGTTCAGCGTACGGTTTCTCACGTGATAGAACGACGCGAGCTGGATACTTTGGAGGCTACACGTCGGAACGGTGCTTGGCTTGTCACGTGGGAGTGCACCCACACACTTAGCTGTGTTCAAAAAGAGACTTTCCTCACGTGGAGTTTGTTTCTTCTGTTTTTTAATGCTAATGCTAAAGCCTGTCACTGCTTTACTCACCATTTTAGATGAGTTGTTGCTGCAGAACGGAGGCGCCCTCAAGCTGCTCGGCAGGTGTAGAAGGCTGCCTGTCCTCAGGCTAAACATTAACCTAAACATTATCAGTAAACTGTCAGCTGTCCTCTCTCCCTACCAATGCCTCTTCTCCCCCTCTGCTCTTCCTCTACTGCCCTCTCATACTTTGCCATAGCTGTTTAACGTAGTGCCTGATTAAAATCACGCATTTTTCCAATGGAGTCTGGTTTTCTATTGAGAAGCAGTGGTATGATACTGCAAATATAGCCGAGAGCCATGGATTTGTGAATGCTTTTTAAGGACAAGTAAATTATGTGATTTTTTGCTTTCCACTGCTAATTATCTAACATGACAAAAGTCACTTTTCGCTCGTCTTCATGTGTTTTTCAAACTGGATTTCGATGCAATTTCTGTTGTGTGCTTATATAAATAAAAAATAACCCAAAAGAGTTGCTATAGCCAGATATTTTATGTTTGAGGTGTTTTTTCACTTAAATAAAATTACTTACTGAACACGTTTCATTAGGTTAAATATATAAATATAGAATGTCTTAATACGCCCTATAGGTATCAGTCTGCTAAAGTAACAACTATGATGACAAATTTCTCTTCAATTAATTAACACTACTACTGAACATCTGACATATGCCATGATTGAAACGTCATTTTCACCACTGTATAAGCTAACGGAATATTCTTTGATCCTTTGGAAGGACTCTGCCAGTGACCTCTGACCTGTGCCAGGGGGTCTGCGCCTCTGTCCTTTTTTTTCTTTTCTTTTCTTTTGCTGCCACAACAGAGAATTTCCTTCCTACACACATCACTGTTTGCAATGTTTTCATTTACAGCTGTAAAATATCTCCACAGGATGTTCCTCTCTTTCACTCACTGCAGCCTACATGTTTGTTCAGTGCAGCTGAATCAGGGGACTGCAAGACAATAAAACACAGTAGAGCCAGGAGGAGGAAGAGGAGCAAAGTGTGCCTGCATAAGAGGAGCAGTGTTTGTACAGACATGTCAACTATTTTGTTTTTTTGTACTTTGGACTTACTTGGGTTCAGCTGAACATCAACTAAAAGGCACAAAAAAAAATGACAGCACAGTTTGTCTTCTCGCACACAGCCTCAAATTGTTACTTTTAATCCAAATCTTTATTCTAAACCGCAAGAGCTCAAATGTTTTTATTTCACTCAAACACTTAAAACATGAGCACATTAGCCATTTTAATAAACTAAACTGTTTAGCGAACAATTCTTTACATCATTCTTGACGAACAGTCTGTGAGGTTTCAGTCTTGATGCTCGTGCTCTTGTCCGGGTATGAGCCAGCGTATGCTGTCGGTCCGCAGGATGGCGTACAGAGTGAAGCTTGTGATGAAGAGGATGGAGAAGACCAGCAGCCAGTCGATGCTCCTCACGGGAACGCTAGGGAGGGGACCGAGGCGGTCTACGTCTGTCACATTTCTATCAGGGCCGGCTTCAAAACCTGGAACACACAGATTTGGATCACACATGGGTGCAAGTTTCATTTGAGTGGTCGTTCAGATTCATTTTACATGACTCAAAATGTTCTTCCAACCACCCAATTCTGACCCTTTTTAGCCCAAACCAGTAAGCTCTATATAATGTAACACATAACCTGCATTTGTACCTGTCTGGTTAACAAGAAAAGATGTGAGCGTATCCAGCGTTCTGTCAGTGTGGTTGAAACGAGCCATTGGTTTTGCCCCTTGGAACAGCAGGATGTTGGGCACTGCCACAGTCCCAAACCTCGTGGAGAGGCTGGTGGAAGATGGAGACATGCATTACAAGAAAATAACACGCAATAGATTTAAATATTCACTGCTCAACAAAATAACCTACAGAAAAATCTTTTGAATATACATGATAGATGCATTCAAAACAATTTTTGAGTCTGCAGTTAGTCGATTTTTCTTCTTTCAGCTGTTTCCTTTAAAGGTAACAACAGTGGATCATCTGCCTCCATCTAATCCTGTACCAAGTATTCTCCTCTGTCACACCAACCCTCTGTGTACATTATACTTACACAATGTCATGTATAATGTACAGGGATACAGATTATTATAAGCACCCTTTATGAGAACATAATCAATCAATTCTTGGATGTTTACACAAAATAGAGTCCAAACATTTGTTGCAACAAAATGATTTTCAGCTTTTCAAAATTCTGGTCTTTAATTTACTTACTTTGCCTCAAATGTGATTATAAAACCAAAGTCACAAAAAAGACTTTATTCTACATTTGTATTTTTATCATTTTCAACACAAAAGAACTTTTATCAACTACTCTAATTATCCAATTAACTGTTTGCTAATAAACATGAGCTATATTCTGCTTCTATATAGATGCTAAGGGGTGGTGAGCCACAGACGACAACAGCTTTAAAAAGTATTCTAAGAGGGGTTTTCACAGTGAGATTACACAGTTAAAACTAGAACAAATGTGATCATTTACCTGCTGTGCTGTGAGGCATCCAGTGCCAAGAAATGCATGCTGGGAAAAACCCGGGGAAGGGCGTTGAAGTGAGGTGCCAGGTTGGCTGAGAACTGGCACCAGGCGGTGAAGAACAGCACCACAGAGCACTCTGTGCTGTTAGCATTGAGGAACTCCATTAGATCCTGAAAGAAAAGAAGGGATGGGTTTAGTGTTTTTTATCCAGGAGAGAAACAGGAAATTCTCCTGCATGGAATTTTATAAGAGGGATACAAACAGAACCTGAATTCTGGTAAATTCACTCAAAAATGAAAGGTATAAAGGCAACAAACAACAATGCTCACGATACAAACAGTGAGTCATGCTATGATGAAATAAAACAAAACTGATTTACAAAAAGGTTTATACACACAAAAAATATACAAATAGATGCATTAGAAAAGTTGATAAATTAATCTTGTATATGGTAACTGGTGTAAATGTTTGGGAAATTGGTGGCACACTTTTTACACACTTTACACAGCGTGTAAACATGTGCCTCAGAGGATGGAGTGAGTACCTGTGAGGCATTGAGGACCTGCACAGTGAAGTTCTCCATTCCTGTGATGTTCCGTCTATCACAGTTGACTTTGTACGTCTTGGCGGTCTCCGTGGTGTTGTGCTCCTCAACCGTTATGACCTCCGCACGCACAATGTCAAGCGTGAGCTGCAGGGAAACATTCAAGGAAAAGTTAGTTTCAGCAAAACTGCATTTATAACTATACATATTTGGGCTAATCTTCAGTGAGACTTTATCAAGCACACGTCAAAACATAAAAACTAAGCTGAGGCTGAAATTAAATTAACCTTGTTATTGATTTTTTTTTTATCAATTCATTTTTAAGATAGGAGAAGACTTTATTGATCCAACAGCGGTTTAAGTCAGTTGGTTTATAACAACCAGTGTTAATATCTTAAAGTAAATTTGTCCAGGAAGACATTTGAGAATCAAAGGATCTCATTGTCTCACTTAATCATCTTAGAAGACAAATCTGCAAATCTTCACAAGTGCAAATTTTACCTTAATAATAAATCAATTACTAATTTGTGATTATCTTTATATTTTGGGTTTCTTTTTGAATTTATACATCAATTTAGATGTCAGTCACTGTGGTAACTGAGGTGGTAACCCTTTAAGGCTGCAGTCTAACAGCAGTCCCTTTTTATGTCTCACAGTTTCATCTTACTAACCTGCTGTGATGATTCAGCATCTTCCTCCTGTGATCCACCATTCTCAGCTGGAGCCGGTGAACTACACTGGGCACTGCTGTCATCACAGGGCGGGGAGAAGCCTGACTGAAAGTCTTTCACATTTTTGGGGAAGAGAGACTCGATGTCAGATGGATCGATGGGAGTTTCAGTGCCCATCACAGCATCTGCGATCTCAGCAGTCTTGAACTGCCTCTTCGGCAGAGAGTCCAGGTCTCCGGACTCTACAAACTTGGGGCTGTTCTCCAAATCGGACAAAGTGTCCTCTGACAAAATGAGCTCCAGTGAGTCGTCATACTCTAAGGGACAAAAAAATAATTAAACTCAGTACATATAACATATTTGTAATTGTTTTCCATTCCATCTGACTTTTAATAGTGAATCACTGCAAAGTTTATCTGAGGACAATCAGATTTCTTGCCATAAGCTGACAGTTACACTCCTGTGAAAAGCATTTGTTCATTTCCCGATTTCATAGTTTTTTGCACATTTATGACACGTAATTGTTTCGGATTTATAGGCATCTGATTAGAATAAACAGCGCCTCTCACATTATTTCAGTCATCTAAATCCCTTTGAAGGACTAGCTAACTAATAGAATATTACACAGAGAGAATATCCTGTGTTACTGTTAATGATCAACCTAAATACAAACATTATATTAGATAAAGGTTTGTACTGTTAGCATTGAGGCTAGCTGCAGCTATCAGTCTCTTACCTTGACCAGACGAAAACTTGAAAACATCCTCATGATGCAGCAAAAACAATAAGACAAACCGTAATTGAAGCTTATTTAAAATCCCCCTCATGTTTTTGAAATGTAACGAGCCAAACACGATTATGAAACGCTGTCACGACATTTTGAGCCGTGAAGAGATGCTGGTGGACTCATAGGAACGAGTGGTCGGATCTGTGGCGGAAGAAAATAGACGATGCACATGAAAAGGTGGCTTCCGGGATGCTTTTTTTTAACCCATACATTTATTTTTCTCTAGGAAATCCATCCCAGATATTTATAGACCATTCCTTGGCCATTTTTGTGCTGTTATTGGTGCCTTTTACGGGGAACACTGATTTCCAGTTTGGGTACTCAGGTATATCAAACAGGGTTTAAGACAGCGTCCCCTCACTTCCTGAAGTTTACTGCACAGCTCCACCTTTTGTTTTGCGTATGTGTCCATACTACGTATTACGGTAAGGGAAACCGAGAACCGATTTCAAAATAAACACGATCTTCAATAGAACGTGGTTTCAACATTACCCTACAATTTTAGTCTGCCATTGACAATATAATAAATAATGGAATAAAAAAAACATGCCAATATAGAAATGAAAAATTTTAAATGACAAAAATAGTCAAATATGGCAAACCCACATACGTAAACTCGCTTAACCAAATTAGAAAATTAAGACTTCAAGATATGTAAAGGTGATTTGAGAGGGGGAAAATGGTTTGTATAAAGTGATGTCAAAACGCTGATATCCAAAATCAGAGTCACTTACTTACCCTATACTGCCTGAGTAATGGTGTCAAAATTACTCTGTGGAAACTGAATTTACTTGCAATGTCTGTACACTTCTTTTGAAATTGTAATTTCTAAATATGGTTATGCATAAGTATGTCATACTTGAATATTTCTACCTTTGGCAATTTTTAATTTGTATTTAATGTTTATTTCTGTATTGATATTTATCTCATGGTATATTATATCATTGATCACCGACTCACGTTGGTTAATGTTAAAATTACATTCACAACTAGATCGCTAGATCGCTTTTATTTTGAATTTAGGTCTAAGTTTCCCGTACCGTAATGTGTAGCACATACACGTAATGAAAACTAAGGTGGGGGCTGGCTTGACTGAGTGTCTCAAAGTGGTACAAAGTCCCTTTATTCCCTCCCCTTCTACTCCTCAGCCAGTTAAAATATGGATCTAAACACCATGTGATCAAACGCAAGCACCGAAAAGACCACACACCACAGATTAGTTTGTAAGGAGGCAATGAATGCAGCTTTTCTCTGGTAGCTGAAAGTGAAACTTAATTTGACTGGACAAAATGGCGCTGCAGCTGATTCAGCTGGATCAAGAAAAACTGAGCTGTTCCATTTGTCTGGACCTCCTTAAAGATCCAGTCACTATTCCCTGTGGCCACAGCTACTGCATGGACTGCATCAAAAACTGCTGGGATGAGAAGGAAACACACAGCTGTCCTCAGTGCAGGCAGACTTTCACACCGAGGCCTGTCCTGGTGAAGAACATGATTTTAGGTGAGTTAGT